TGAACAAATGTGAACCCTTGCATGAGGAATCCTGGTCATACCTCGCTAATGATTTGACCCAAGCTTGGTAATATCTGGATCATGGAGTTCAATCTGCTCTGACAGCAGAGCGTTAACTGGTCTGGTTTTTTGGTTGCCTCATTGTTGAGAACTTTAGGTCATAGAACTATTGTCAACCAGACTATCCTGGTGCAGCTCTGATAGAGTTCAAATGTGTTGACCTAATGTACCATTTGGAGAGAGAGCTCTTTGAAGCAGTCCAGTTTTTTAATTGTTTGATTTGCAGAATGCTGGTTATATTTATTGACATACCTTTCTGGCCCATCTCTCCTTGAAATCCTCTTGGTCCAGGGGGACCAGATGGGCCTATTGAAACACTACATTCTACCCCTTTGGAAAAAAAAAGGAAAATAAAATATTACTCTTACTGTGAAATAAAACCATAAATATTGTTGAAATGTCAAGTTGACTGGAGTGGAGGATTTATTATGTTTTTTCTGAGATGTTTACCACTGGTATACATCTACATTTATCAAGCAAAATACATTTTACAGAAACAATTTAATCATTAAAGTAATCAATACTCCTCACTGTCCCCATTTATTATACAGTATGGCAGTTTAATCATAGGTTATTCTCACATTCATCTAAAGACCGAAAGATTCGTGATTTAAAGGAAATCTTTTTGAAACGAATTTGTTTTAGTGTAAAGATCGCTTTACAGGAGTTAATGTGTCATTAAAAAATGTTTTAAAACAAAATGCAGTTACCTGAAAGATGGTACATTACTTCTTTTACCATAATAACTAAACAATAAGTTGAAAAAAAACAAAGAAAATACTCTTCTGCTGAGCTGAGGATTTTGTGCAAAGGTGTTAGTGGTTCTTCCAGTACCTAAAGGCCCTGGGGGACCAGGGGGCCCTGGCAATCCATCTTGACCTCTCTGACCAGGAAGTGATTCTCCAGGAGATCCTCGATCACCCTTCTGACCAGATTCCCCTGGAAACCCTGGAGGACCAGGGGGCCCTTGGAGACTTAAGCCTTGCAAACACAAATAAACAACATTTCAGTTTGAATTGTGCTTAAAACAGTTAAGCAGTCATACTATGTTAGACTGCACTATAGCATTTACTAACAGTACTACAGTACTAAGACCAAGCAAGATTCTAAAACAGTTTTATACTGTACATTGATATAATGGAAGTGACTTCTATTTGCTTATAATTATGTACATTTTGCTACAACTAATGTACTTTACAATCATGATGCAAACAACAATTTGCATATTAAAAAATACAAAAAGATTTCCTTTATAGCTATAGGTATTCATTGCTCCAGTAAATCCCCTTTGGCATACAATATTGTATATACTGTATATTGCTGCTCTAGAATCAGTCCAGAGAAGAGCAACCAGATGCATTTCAGAACTTCAAGGAATGTTGTACACTGATGCAATAAAATTAACCTTTGTGGTCTTGAACAGAGAAAACTACTATAGAACCTGATATAAGTATAAAAAAATCAAAAATTGAGCAAAGACACACAAACACAAAGTGAGAATAAGGGGTACTTCGATACCCAAAGGCTAGTAGGAGTATATATGTGGAATAAGCTAGCCAGCCATGAGGTTGAAGCCAATGTGTTGGCATCTTTCAGGAAATGGCAGGAAGAGATTCTTTGATAAATTAACTACTACAGTAACCACCAAATGCACAAGATGGGCAGAATGGTGTCCTCTCATTTGTAACCTTTATTATGTTCTTAGATAGCGCCCCTAGGTCAACATTGTCAATGAGAATTTGTTCTCCACTGGCTTGCTCCATACTCATACATTACAGCAGGCAGTTGATATAAAAAAAAACCTGTTACGAAAATGCTAAATGGGGTCTAGAAATATTAAGAATAGTTTCTTAAAGGATACACATTTATTAGTATTATTTAAGTAACAGGAAAAAAATAAAAAATGGAAGTGTATATTACCTGGTGGACCTGCATCTCCTTGAGGACCAGGAAAACCTTAAAAATATTACAGCATGGTTAGAACAACATTTGTGATATAAGGTGGCGTGCAATTGTATGAGAAACAGAAATCTGAAAACAAACTACCCCTGTCTAGCCAGAAAAATTTAGGAAGTCATGTTATCAAATCAAAATCGAATCAGCTGAAGATAACATATATTTTGTCACGGTAAAAGCAGTCGAAAATTAAAGCATTGTGAAAAGGTCAAGATTCCATACCTCGTTCTCCTTTTTCACCAGATCTCCCAGGAAACCCAGGAGGTCCAGGTTCTCCGTGTCCCTAAACAGAATGTAAAGCACACTTTCTACATCCCAGATTTTCCTTGAGATTAATATTACAGTATGTTTTCTTTTCACATTGTCCTCTAACAGATTATTTCCTAGCAAGATTTTGTGTTTACCAACACGCATGGAAATGGAGGTCAGATTAACTGAGGAGAAGTATTAGGGAGCGATCAGAACGAATGCTGAACAATATTTTTCACTTAGTTTTGAGCACGCATGGTGATGAATTAAATGAAATCTACAGCCTTCTTTTCGGATACAATGCTACATAAAATGTAGCATTTTTTTAGGTACAGTACTTCTACATTTTGATGTTCCTAGTTCAATTACTTTAGTAAGTTATATTTAGTAAATTATATTTTAACATATTTTAATGCTTTGTTTCCAAAATCACCGTTTATTTTGTGTGTTCTTAATAATGTACATGCATTTAGAGAATGTGACCATACTATAAATGGACTATAAATTTGGTAGCACATTCCCCAACAGAAGAAACCATTTGTGAATGTCTGCATGGTTGTCTTGCTATTCTCACTCTTCAGCACATTACCTGATCTGCTTTAAGTGAAAGGAATACTACATTAAAAGTTAATTTAACCTAACTGCCCAAGTAAGTCAACATCCATAGTCTAATTTGACATTTTCAAACACACTTACAAATCCAGGTGGTCCTCTTTCACCTTTCTCACCCTAGAACCAAAAGGAAAACAAAAAGGATTATACCCTTGAAATATAATAAATGTGCATTCATTGTATAACTTTGCAATGATCATCCCAAAATACCTAATTATACTGTACATAAGCACCTTATTTCCAAAAGAAAACTGTACAGTATGTAGGCAATTACCCTCTGTACTTGGTGCTATTGCTGTTGCATCCTTGGTGAGCTCATCTACTGTACATTGTGATTTAATCGTCCTCAATAGGTGGTGGTTTTTGTTAGAAATATTTATGTTTTGACAGTCTTGATATTGAGGGTAAGTGAACAGATTTTAACAAAATGTATATATTGGTAGCAAGTACATTTTGTAACTATTGAAAGGTTAGAAACTATTGTTATTAGTAGAATAATATATTCCTTTCCACATACACCACTAATTGGAGTGGCCGTCAGTTGTGATGCCCACTTTAAGTTACAAGTCTCATATCAAAAATAAGATGGGAATAGCACTGAATTAAAATGAAACATATTATTGACGTACAGCATAGCAGACTTACTGTAGTCTCTCCCAGTTATAGGTTGGAGTTGGTGAATGTTTTTTAATAAAAAGACAAAGAAATGTACAGTTTACAGGCCTCAGCAGTACTGATACTAAATGTAAAACACCGAAAGTCAGCTGTGTTTTTGAATTTTGACAAGTGCTCTTGGTGAATATCAGAGGAAGTTTCAATAAGCTTCTAGGAGTAAAGTAAAAGAGCCACTGGCTTAGTGACTTCACCACCCTGTAGCTGAGGGACTCTGCTACATCTGATCAACGATGAGCGCTTGGAGGGTCATGTCAAAGCATGTACTTTGTGAGATGTGATCTTACCTTCATTCCCCCAGGTCCAGGGAATCCTGGATATCCTTGATCACCCTAAGAAAACAATTCAATTTTTCACTGTATTGTTCCTAGAATGTACAGTATATAAAAAGGTGTATTTCCACAGGCACACACATACTGTCAGTATGGGACGCATAAAAAACCCCCAGCAACTCAATTGATGACTGAAGTAATACAGCATGCAATACAAAACCTTTCCTAATAAAAGCATGTTGATCTCTGATATATTGTATACACACGGACGTAGTGGAATATCAGATTTTACAAACATCTTGGAATATTCTATCATTATGATTATCATGTTAATAAACATTTTACGAATGAAAGTTATACCAAAGGAATACCCTGTCTTTTAAATAAAGTAAATATGGTGTGAAAGAGAAACACTTCATACTTTACTCCCGTTTTCTCCCTCTTTTCCTGGTTTACCCTGAAAATGAAAATAAATACAATCAGTAAGAACATCTGCTGGATTTAATTATTTTGTACACAAATCAATGTCTGAGAACTAAGACTGTCTCCCTTGTTTGCACAACATTTTAGGACAAAACTGAATTTGCTGAAAAATCAGCAGTAGTATTGGGGTATTTTTTATTTTAAAAAGACAAAAAAAACAATGGTTCCATATAATTTTCCAGTTTTCAACAATATTTTATAAAATGAAATACAGAGTCCAAATAGTTTTTTTAATATGAAATTATTAATGCTTTAATTAAAAGTAAATAAAACTCTTCTACAGTACATGTAGGAACCCTGCAAGATAAGACCAGTACATGTTTTAGAAGTGTTTATATAACCATTTGAATAGCTGCATTTAAGATGACCAAATCCAAGAAAACATCATTTTTGCCAAGAACATAAATAACTATGATTCCTTTCCCATTGAAAGAAGACCAAAATACTAAAAATAACGTTTAAAACACAAATACAGTGTACAAATCTACACTTTCACAAGGCAGATTTGAAAGATCAAATCCAGTTTCATTACTTTAACACGGGGTGTAGAGAATTTGTGCATCATGAACAATAAATATTATGTTATTTGTAGTTATTAATTTTTACATTTTTATAATTAACTAAATTTTGAATGTGGGCTACAATTACAGCAGTACACAAATAATGTTTCTGAATGTTTGTAATTGTTATTTCTCAGTCTTAGTGTCTAATGCAGAACCTGATCTGTTCTAGAATCCAATGCCATACCTAATCTGTAATATTAATATTTACGATTCATGAGTTCATTGAAAAATAATAAAAGTCAAGTAAAACATCTGATTGCTGCTCTTACAATGAAAACGGTTCTTAAACATGACACGGGGAAGTGTAAAACATGCCTTAATATATTTTCTTTCACAGTAAAATCAGTAAAAAATCTAGGATTTTACACCATCCAAACATGAACACTCCAATCTTATTATTCTTTCTCAACCACAGGTAATGTTTCTTGTAAATCATGGTCAAAATGCAAGTCAATATTCTGGCAATGAATCATGAATATAGATAGACATGGATATCACATTGAATTGAAGCTGAAGTAATGCAACTTTTAAATGGGATTTCTTTATCTATTCTGGCAAAGGCAACATTGGCATCAGAATAAATTATTGATAGGTATTAAAAGGATGATCTCTCTTAAATGAAAGTGGAACAACAGATTAATTTTACTGCAAGGTTTTATCAGCACAATAACCCCCCATTGTAAATAATCACCCTTGAACAAAGTGGTTCTTTAATTCTTCTTTTCCACTCTGCTCTCAAGGTTGTTCTGCACAATGTAATTGAGACCCAGGTCCATCGACTGGTATTCTTTCGGTTTTAAAAGAAACCTTCCTGAAGTGAATTCAGTGACACTGAAGAATAAAACGCCGTCTCCAGGAATAAAGCACATGCATGTGCTTACAGATGATATAAACCAGAACGAAGAGTAAGATTTGGTACTCACTCTGGGGCCGGGTGATCCAGGTTCACCTTTAACACCACTCATATGTGGAACACAGTACCCCTGCAGAAACAATGGACGTCACTAATTAATAATAATAATAGCATTAGAGTACCCCCTTTTCATATCAAACATACCACTAAAACTAACACTTAGAAAACAGTGGCTAATATGCTATGTTGAGCACCACCTGCCTTTGATATCATGTTGAAATAGCAGATGACATTCCTAAGCTCAGACAGTAACAAATTAGAGAATGTGAGGAATATGGCACTGGTAAACCTTACATGTTTAATTAGTCACTAATTTTTAAATTTGTATAATTAACTAAATATTGCATTTTGGGTCACAATGCCTATTTAAAATTTACTTTGAATCTAAAATCAAAGCAGTTCAGACGTTTACTCAGTAAATCTGTGTATAACATTTACAAAGTATTTGAAAAAAGTCAAACTTATTTTTTAAAATGTATAAATATCTTTTTCTCAATAAATGTAAAAGTTTAGATTTTAACAATTTAAAAAAACGAACTTACTTTTTCCCCTTTTACACCTTTTGGGCCAGTGTCACCCTAGAAAAAAAAGGGTTACAGATGGCTTAGATAATAGATTTTCCAGGATAACAGTATTAGGGCGAATGTTTTCCCACAGAATAATAATCATTTTCTATATTTGTACCGATAAAGGAGTCACATCACTTTTATGTTATTGAATGATTCTTAATTATGCATTCATCCATTGCACGAAGGATTGAGATAAAGTCCTTACCTTCGGTCCTATTTCATATACAACCTTGGGGCCAGTCCGTTCATCGATAATTGATTGGCCTGGAGGACCTGGTACTCCGCGGTCTCCCTACAAAATGCCCATTTTATTACACTTGGATGTCAAATAAGGATATAAAGGTCAAATCAGCATTCAATTATTAGCTCAAATAACAATTATGGAAGAAATACAAATGTAATTTTCTTTAAAATAACTAAAATAAAATAATATTAGCACCATACAGTATAAGGCAGACGTTGGTGTGTATGACAGCAAACTAGAAGAAATGTGAAGAAAATGTGCTTGTGAAGATTTCTCATTTCTAATTTTTATATGTGAACAGTTTTGACTGCCTTTATCCCTAAAGGAATTTTGATACTCATAGTTCCAAATCATATTTGAGAGGCAAGTCAAGATTTTAGAGAGCTAAGAAGACTTCCACTTTTCTCCTACACATTCTACAGTTTCCACTCTAGCTGAAGGGATGCTGTACAGCTGTTTTGACATCTTTATTCCTTATTACTTGTGCTTCTAAAAAGTACAGCATGTTTACAGACAAAATTAGTTACAAACTTACACTTCAAAGCACTGTTTCAGAATGGCCATATGTGTACAATCAACATATGAACACGAATAAAAAAAACTTCTAATAATGTATTCCCTTTAAAAGAGAGAACTTTTTGACCTATGCAGCACCAAAACAGTTTTATCAAAAAATACATCAAACTATGATCAAAGATTTGCAACATCTCTAACTCACCTTTTCACCTTTTGCACCTTGGAAAGAGAGTACGTCACTCAACTGAAAAAAATAAATATTCTCTTTATAGAGCACAGTAATTAACAGAAATCTGGAGGGTCAAAATCTAATCTCACCTACTTCTACTCACAGTATGCATACATATCTTCCCTCCTAAACTTCCCTTGTGTATCTTTCTCACACCCTTCCCACCTCCCCATCTACACTCTTGCAGCAGCTCCCTGGCTCATTCCTCACCAAAGTGCAGACATCCTCACAGTGAGGCTGCCGTTCCCTTAGCTAACTTTTTTTGCTGTTCCCTTAACAGGTGGGCATCGCACTTAAGAGGATCTGACCTAACTACCGAACAGGTTATATGTTAACACTTGAAATCAAAACACAATTGACAAAAAACGAATAATATTGAACATCTATAGAGGGCTAAAGTTTAATATCATACCTCGCCAGGGGGACCAGGGGGGCCAGGGGGACCAGGCAAACCCTGATGAATCAAACAAATAGCCAACAGGAAATTATATTCTGGACAACAGAGGAGACATTTGGTGTTTAAGAGTATTTGTTCAAGTCAATCAGCAACGAAAAGTTTAGCTTCCTAAACTAAAAACCCTATGGAGACAAGTATTGATGAAAAGTAAGTTTAAGACAGCAGTCAGGCACTTCTGACTGGCTAAATTGGTAATGGAAAGAATTAAGACATTAAATTTTCTAAGGGCATCCATAATAGCCAGTTATGATTACCAAGTCGCCAAACTACTGTAGTTATTAATGTTATTCAGTAGTGTGATCACTTACTGTGGGTCCCACTGGACCTGGAGGGCCAATTGGACCTGTTAGGCCTGGTAACCCTTTCATGCCCTGGAAGAGACGTTCATTAAACCATTATTATTTTCATTGTAATTATCAACAGTTACTTACTTGAGATGAAAAGAAAATAAATATCCTAAACCTTGAAAGCAAACAGGAAAATAAGAGTAAATGCATCGGGCATCTACTAATTTGAAGGAGTTGACAGCTCATGATTTGTAAAACTACAGTAGATGAGGTTTGTGAACTTTGGATCCACTCCAGTTCATCTGACGTTTTGCAATGCAGGCTGTAATTCTAGCTGTTACCAAAAGATGGAGCCACAGGACTGTCATGATAGCTTAAAAATGTCAAGCTTTATTTACATTTTACCTCACAGTTATGACAATGTTGTAGAAGGCCTTGGCAGTGATGGGTAGCCAGGGATGTACAGTCTACACCTACCTGATTCCCCGGAACTCCAGGAAATCCCTTCTCACCCTTATGCGAAATGAAACCAATGATTTCTCCTGGGTCACCCTGTACGGAAATGATAAAGTAGTCAATTCATAGCATTCAAGTAGTTATTGTAATAGTATTGAGAATTAACATTTTTTGAGCAGTAAGAGACTTGCCTAAATGTTTAAATGAATACAAATATCAAAACAGACAAGGTAAAGCGACTAAAACCTAAACCAAGAGGAATAACCTCTTAAAATTAATTTTATTGAGTAAACCTGCATTTATTATTTTATTGATTTATTATTTTCTTTCTTTTTGCTTTTTAGCCCCCATCATCTTGGAATAGCCAATTGTCAATAATCTTGGTTGTTTTTATCACCATTACACTCATACAGTAGCAACACACCAGGGATGAGGACCATATTTGAGTCTCCCTCTGACTGTGGACTGTTCAAGCCGCTTGCTAGATTTCATCTGAGGAACTGAAACTCAAATGAGTTAGATAAATTACATCACATTTTAGTGTCCTGTGGCAAGATGATAAACAACAATTACACACATTAACAGTGCTCACAGAGAGGACTCTTCCTATAGTCGGGATGGAGGCTTTTATCAGAAGATTTATCTGAGAGATGCTGTAGGAAGTTATTTTTTAACTGCAGGCAGCTGTACCTAAGTCTACTGTAAATGTGTACAAGTCAATCGGCCAGTTTAGAATTAGGAAGTTCCCTGACACTGAAAGTGCATACTGTATGTGCAGGACTTGTAATCAAAACGATAAGGACCCAAGTATAGAAACCTTCATTCCAGGAATTCCAGATATACCCTGAAAAAGAAAATGCATCCACAATTAGAGGTTTTTTACACGATTTAGAACTTTAATATATTTTAAAACGAAGGACAACTGGGACAATTAAATCGATGGAATATATATACAGTATATACAGTATATATACAGTATAGTATGTAGTTTTAAATGTTTAGTAAAGAAGCAAAGCTTGAACAATATAATGGATGAAAGTATTTAAAACATGTAGCACTTGATGCTGAAATGGACTGGAAAGAATGCATTTTATAGCTGTAGAGAAAACTGGCCAAATGCTCCAACACAAAAGCATCTTGGATTCAGAAGTAGAACTGTCTGGATTAACCCTTACAATTACACAGAAGAAGGTTAATATTAGACATTGGTTCGGCACTTTGAGATATTGAATTTTCAAAGATCACAGTGTAATCACTAGTAACAACTTACCGGTGGGCCTTGAAGTCCTGGTAAACCAGGGATTCCATCAAAGCCTCTTTCACCCTGTAAAATACATCACCATCTGAAATCCACAGAGCTCCAGTTCTGTCACATTGCCCGTACACAAAATGTGCTAGAAAGTCATTACTCCGTTATACAAAAAAATCTATGTTCTATCAATAGCAGAGTATTCTGCTCTGAGCTTGCAAGGTATCAGGCTAAAACACAGCAACACGGTCAATATCAATTCCAACATGCCGTTAACACATGCTTTTCAACAGGGGCAGAAAAGGAAGAATCATCGTACAAATGAAGTAAATGTGGCTCAGGTGGTTTTACAACGCCTAACATTTGTCACCGTATCCAAGATACACAAAACTACAATTCAGCAATTTTCAAGCTTTCCCAGAGCACATGTACTGTACTATAGATTTGTATGAGCTATCCCAAGGTAATGCTTTGTGCAAACAGTATGAATCTGACTGTGAATGTACTGAACATACTAAATGTACAGTACATTCTGAGATGTCAGGCAGAAATAGCAAAACATCATCAGCATATAATTTTACGACATGCTGAGTCCCTTTGTCTTTTATAGGTGGGATCTTTCCTAACTGTTGGAGTCAAAACTTCAGTGAAAAAGTGAAGAGAAAAGGAGGGAGTGGTCATTAATGTCTTGTTCCTTGTCCAAGAGAGAAATCCAGGTGGGTTGTTAAGGCAAAAACTGAATAAAAAGATCCCAGGACAATCTTCTGCTCACTCACCCATGACAAACCGAATTCTAGAGGGGTTTGTTGTGTAGCATAGGCATGAGCCTACTATAATATTTCGTTAAATTATATCATGGAAATTCTTGTTGTCCGGAAAAGTGTAAGGCATGAATCCGTCCACTACTGTGCACATGAAGACTCTCATTACAAACCCAGTAAAAACTAAAGTTTTTAAAAATTAAAAAAATCTGGAGAATCCCTTTTGCGAAAAGACCTGCCCCAAACATGAAATGTTTACTTCTTTGCGCTAAGCGAAAAACAAAATGAATTTTCCAACATACGTTTGTCCCATTGCACCCTGGAATTCCAGGTGGACCAGGAGGGCCATCTTGTCCTGGAATACCCTGTCAAACAAGTTGATATAAACAGAAAAACATCAACACATACTGTACATAAATGAAAGTAAAATTTACTTTGCACTGTTAAAACCTATGAAGCAAGCATATCTATATATTCTAATATACTGTATAGACTATATTCTACATGTAAAATCACAACTCATGTGATTCTTCACTTACTGGAAGGCCTGGGTTTCCTGGAAATCCAGCCAGACCCGTTGGTCCCTGTAAAACAGTTGATTATTTTGTCATCTGAGAATTTTACTTCACTTCAGTTACTTGAATATAAACTAGTTATGATTTCCATGAAAACATAGTGTGCAAATAAGAACAGACATTTATACAGGCACGCATATGGACACCAGGTACAAAAACATAATTAATTGTTTCAGACTAGCATTAGCATCAAAAGCAAATTCATGATTAAGTCTAGTTATTTAAAATGAACAAAAAGTTAAGATTCAGTACTGCGAGAATTTTAAAACTTAAAAAATGTAAATATCATACTGTAGCTTAATACAATATACTATCAAATGTATCAAATGTAATAGAGCAGCAATTAACTGCAAATATCAATATAATATGAATTTCCACATCTTACACTAATATACTGTAGCAGAAAAAGCATTTTCTAAAACAGAAAATGGGAGTTTTCAAAAACAGTTTAAAGAGAGGTTTATTCTGATTGTTCTTACGCGAATTCCTTTAAGACCTGGCATTCCTGGCTCACCAGTATCACCCTGTAGGTATAAAATTCAAAGGTCAAAAATCTGAATTTCACTCAGACAACAAATGTTCAGTTACGATTGGGAAGAAACAAGTCTAGAACTGCTACTTAAAATGACTCCAACCTAAGATAAAATAGCCTTGATCTTTCAAAATGTACTACATAAACCAAGTGACCATATAATTAAATACTTAAGTATAAAAACCTTTAAACAGAACAGTTTTTTGGGAATTACTCCCAAACAAAAGAACATTAAATTTAAAGATAAGTAGTACACCTTTGGTGAAATGGCTGTTTGAACTTGTTAGGCAGGAATATGCTGTATAACCAGCTGATGAGTGTTACAAGTCATGGAGCCATATGGTCACTCAGATCCAGAAGCAAATGTACAGTATGTCTGCATCCAGTATTTTAAAAGGTTTATTTTTTTTTTTAATTAGCTGTGAAGTCGGTTATGAAAGCTGGATCTGAATCTGCTAAAGTAAGCTTGTTGGTAATATTGAGTAGTCCCAGCAGAACATAGGTCATTATACCAGTGCAGAAATGCCTTTCATGTACTGTATAAGCCCAAGATTTTTCTATTTCACACCTTTGCCTTCTGATGCTGAATTTACATGTCAACTCATATTGCCCAGATGGTAAAACGTATTCTCTGTCTACCTCACTGTCAATTCAGAAACAGCAAGGTGCTCCAACCACGGAAGTTCACTCACAAATCCAGGTAACTGTTAGAGATGTCAATGTGGCCTCACCATAACTGTTTTTAAGATATTTTTCTTCCTTTTGAAAGACAAAAGCTGGCAGAAACAGTACTTTTTCACACATATTTCCCCAGACATGTCTCTTCAGTCAGCACTTCTTAGATTGTTTACTAATTGGCGTTCTTTGAACTACTGCGTTATTTAACAAAACTTCATTGGAAGCTATTAATTATCCGATTATTGTGAGGTTAACACAAATGATTAACAAGTCCAACATGTTAAGGTCGCAATTCTGTATAAAAAAATATAATTTTTTCACTGTATTGCTCACCTGCTCTGGACGCAGTATATTTAAACATTGTTGAATGTCGTCTGATTTTCATTAGCACTGCTCCAGAAGTTTATTTACATGTCTTTAAATCCTTGATTCAGCCGTGACACCTGAAGTAATAACTTCTAATACCATGGAACTCTTGTATGCTTTTATTTTGGCATTGTGAGAAAGCAAGATGACACAAAAAGAAATTGTCAAGGGAGCCAGGGGGCTAGCCGTGGTGAGAGACTGGCGAGACAGGAGGACCCTATGCGTAGCGGTAGGAACGGAGCAAATGAGAGGGTTCGGTCTGGGCTCAAGGAGTTGGAACAAGACATGAGCCCTCAGGTAGCAGACGTGGGGCGACCTGGTGAGGCGAGCCTCTCGACAACCAATCCCAATGCCGAGCGAGGAGGATAGGGAGACCCGGAAATATTAAGCCCCAGACAACAAGACACACCGGAAGAACAAGTAAAGCACAGGGAAACAGGGACCAGGAGAGAGCAAGAGCAGAACAGAAATGAAGCAGTCGACTCGGCTCACTTACTTTAGGGCCCATTGGACCAGGGGGACCTTCATGGCCTTGCATTCCAGGAAACCCCATATTACCTTGCAGTCCTGGAAATCCCCTTTCACCCTTTGAGAGACAAAGAGAGAAGAGAGTTTTTCAAAGAACTGGCAGAAAAGCCTGAAACAATTCATACATATTTCACCTTCGGAGTCTGTATGCCTACATTTCAAATCAAGGAAGGCAACCGGTTAACGAATGTAGAGCAAATATCTTTTTTATGGTAGAATTCCCAGCTGGGTCTGGGTGTGGATTCAGGACTGGGACACCCTCTAATTGTGGTCTGCATGTCCGACCCTGTGTTCCTATCATTGTGTTCATGTGATATTTTCCCAGATGCTTCAGTTCCTGCCCACCTAACAAACGCAAGCTGGCTGGATTATTTGGCGGCTCTAAATTAACCATGTGCGTCCCATCCAGGGATGTATTCTTGTTTTACACCAAGCGATTTCAGAATGAGCTTCAGATTGTCAGAATTCTTATTAAACACAGGTAGTTTTCTCATGACGTACAGTATGGCAGAAAAAGACAGGTTCCTCAATTTGACACTAGGTGGTGCTGTGGTTTACACAATCCATCCTGCTCTCATTGAGATTTCTTCACAGTAGTAATGGTATGCTCTAAAAATTCAGAATCATATACCATACAGTTCAGAAAAGGTGGGGTCTGCTTTGAATGTTTAAACATTTCATTCTATTTTGTATATACTGTATAAAGTTAGCAGCCATGGACAGCTGTTTTGCTTTTATCAGATCACATCAGTGTGACACACAGTTCAGTAGCTGGCATTGACCAATGAAACTATTGTACATATGTATGTTACAAGGAACAACTAGCATTGTAAAACAGAAAGCCAGACTGTTAATCTTCACATTCTCTTTATATACTGCGTATATGTGTTCACTCTACATGTGTTTGAGGTATATCATATAAATTCAAATTTTATTTTTTTCTGCATGAAGTATGTCATATGAATTAAAATTAAAGTCTTAAATGGTGCATATATAAAAAGCCTTTATAATGGTGGAGGGAAGGTTTTCATCATTTGATTAATATTTCAAAATAAAAATGTTATTAATAACATAATTAATTATGTTAATAAAGTTATTTTTTACATAGTATTTCTTTCTTGCTACGTCTGAATATACTGTACATTTTGGGTTAATGGACACAAATGTAAAATTCCAAGGTAGCTGTATTTTTGTTTTCTCATGGTTTAGCATCTGATTTTTTCATCTATTTAATTTGGCAATGGTGCAGACAAATGCACATTGTCATGGGCTTCTGTTCCTAGCTCTCTCCCATACTGCGTTCCTAAAACACTTCCAGACACAAAGAACAAATTCTTTCCAATTGAGGGAAAATATTGCTTGAAATTATACAGTACATGGGAACTGGGCTAAATGCCAGAGAACCCATACAACTTCTGGGGGTGGAGGAATGCACACACCACCAGAGAGCAAATACATTCCCCAGAAGACAAAGCTCTGGGATTCTGATGGAGAAAAATGTAAAACATGACATAAAAGACATGACAATGAAGCATGTCTTCAGGAGCCTTGGATGTTATTTCTGAAGCATAATTTTCTTCAAAATAAAGAAGCTGCTCTTTAGGTAACTGAACACAAGACTCCCAAGATCGTTGTTCCTTACTACAGGGACAATTTTTTTTCTGTTTTGAAGAAATGTTACCTGGTACAGGTCCTTTTGTAAGACAAAAAAATAATTTTCCATATTCACAAGCAGACACATAACAGCACCCTCAGACCTGCTGCTCCCTCCAGTTTTCTGTTTCCTAATCCATTCATTTTTGGCTGTTTTGTTTTAGGTTAGTCATTTCCATTATTATATTTAAAATAAGGCAGCAGAGCCAAAGATCAGTATTCAAAAGTTACTGTACTGTATGTACTTGAGGCTTGGAGACAGCAAAAAGACCTGTTGATGTTAAGCAGGGGGAATGGAATTCAGCATACAGAACATCATCCTTCTCTGCAAATGCCCGATTTGGCATGGTGTTCTTCTGTTCAGCTGCTAAACAGCATCTTTTACCACCTCAGCCCACTTCATTTCAGCACCTCATTTTCAGTTTCCCATGTGTATGGAGTTAATTGTTCACAGATAAATGAAGTTTCTTATATAATGTAAAGGATTAAAACAGGAGAAAAGAGAAGAATGAAATCATAAAAAGCATAGCAACAGGTGTTTTAAAGACGGCACATCAGTAGAATGGTATACAGTTTTATACTATAAACCAACAATCTCAGGCATCAGTCTGATTGGTGCAGGCTTGAACGAATCTATCTGGATTTCCTGAATGTGGTCGACTGTTTACTTCTGTTTAAAAAGCTAATGGAAGTGAAATAAGAAATCTTACCCCCAGAATTAGTGAGTGCATATCTCAGTATGTGAAGAATTATTGCTAAACCCTTGCTAAATATGGGATAAAAGGTAGAATTGTAACTATTATGAGCTCAATAAACATCAAAATCAAAATCCCCATTTTAATAAATCATTCATGTGATCAGTTGATGCGATTAAATTTGGATAATAGCAGGATAATAATAATTTTGCCTACACACCTTACAGTATATTCAGCTTCAATTTAACTTCCACATGTTTCTTTGCACCTTTCATTTTGACACTGCATTGATCCATGTGAATTTTGTCAAATGTTGAATGGGATTTGTGAGATAGGAAGCACCAAAGAAAACCTTACAATGCTTAAAGTCTTAAATTGTTGAACAACAGTTTGTACATTTTTACATGACTCAGACTTTCCTTCTTTTGCCAATTAGAAATGAATCAATTCAATGGCTGTAACAGCAGCAGTAGTAACAGGGTAAATGGTGAGACATACACACAGGGTGCTTACCTTCTCCCCTTTCACACCACTGCAGTCACATTTGCCACACCCAGAGCATCCCTGAACAAAAAAAAACAAGAACACATTTCAGGTTAAGTAAAGGCCTAGTTCTGTTTTATTGTACAAAAAAACAGTTCCAGCAACAGGCTTTTGTATATTATGGTATATCAGAATACAGAGAGAATCTGAAACTTGGCCCATGATCATTTGCTTTATTCATCAGTAATTTCATTACCCTGTAATGGCAGAAACTATTAAGTGTACATCTTCTGAGAAATCTTCTGGGTTCTCCTAGAAAATTAAAATGACTGATTTGTGGGGTGGGAGCCATGCCCCAAATCTCACTCCCTTTCCCAAACCATGTCAGGGAAAAAATAAACTCCAAAACTATGCAATACAGAGACGTAAATAACTAGCAGATGTTTCTGAAGTCTCAGTTCTGTGCAATCTACTGCAATGTCAAAAAGGGCCTGAACATTCATCTGCGCCACAAATTCATTTTTAGAAATTGTAAGATTATTTCTATACAGTATGACCCGACATCTCATCAGAACATTTTCCACCAGATGCCTTTTTACAAACATAGCGGCGACTGTAAATCCTTTTCTCTAAACTAAAAGTAAAGTTCAATCTTGGTATCAAATATTCCATGACCAAATATACCAGGGGCGTTTAACGTACTGTATGCAACACTATAGGTATGCGTGTCACCATGTTACATTTCTGTATCTACTTAATAACATCACCCTGTGTACCTTCAGTGGCAATTTAAAAGAGAAAATTGTTTAATGTTCATGGGTCTCTTAATTAAAAAAACTAAGACATTGAGTAAAAATCTGAGGCACCTATAAAGTTATATACATAAAACATTACATAAAGGTATTATGTTCTCACAGCCCAATACAAAAGCCCTGTGAAAAGTGGAATTCCTATAGTTATGCTATAGTCACGGTTCTTAACACCAAGCCAAGATGAATAGGGGCAGAAATTTCTGAAGGAACAATTTTTCATCTTCAGCCTACCTGACTCCATCAACTAGCCCAGTCAAGTTAACTTTTTTTTTCTCGTTCCTCTGTTAGCTTCCGATTCAGCAGAGCAATAGCAAAACGAGCCTGGGAAATGTGCTGTGTTCATGCTCGGCAGCTGTGCTCCATTCACGTGTTGGGAACTAAGCCAATTAAGTTTTAGCACATCTGCAGAAACATGACTAACAGCAGTCATGGGAGGAGGTTTGCATTATTACCAATGTTATAGTAATTGAATCAGTATGTTGTTTTTGAAAGAGAAATGGGTTCGTTCTCACAATTTTTAATGCACTACACTTCAGATAGGCCTCTATGATAATTCCTATGGTTCTCCATGCTTTCTTTTTTTAAGGCATACAAAATCCAACTTGAGGGAACTATATCTACAATTTGAAAAATACTCCAATCTGCAGTGGAACGGGATATGCAATGTTTGGCATATTTTTCTGCCACTTTTCTAATTACTATTTCTCTGCGATGACAATGTGCAAAGTCTAAATATGCTTTGCTCAAACTTTCTTACAGTTAAAAGATAAGCTGTGTGTATAGTTAGTTTAAACAGCTTGACAGCACACATTCCAGGAATGCCAGAAATTGTAACTGCACAGTACAGAGGCAGCAATAAACAATTTTATTACATAATTAGAACATTTGGGTGACATAGTGCTACGGGTCAGCTAGGTTCTGGGCTCAACTGGTGTGTGTTCTGTGTAGGGTTTGCATATTCATGAGGACTTCCACCAGGGGGTGTGGTTTCCTTCCTATCCAAAGACACATAGGCTGAGTCAAATTGCGTGTCTGCCCTGCAGTGAGTATCCAGGTTGTAGTTTTACCCTGCCAACCTCACCAGGAGTAAGCACCTGTGTGACAGAATGGCTGGAATGATTCATGACATTTTATTTTCTCTTTCAGTCAAACAGTAAAACGCTTGTTAGTGGGGAAACACAATTCTACTTGTGAAAATTCTTGTTCGCTGTAACAGTAGTCTTCACATAGTAAAAGTCCACAAATAACTCATCATTTGGCCACACTTAAAAGTCAATATCAGAACTTGATGTTACAATAAAACATCATGGATAATTTTGACATTACAATAAAACATGGCTGGAGGGAACAACAGGGTTGAATAAAGTAATGGGTATATGTTTCTTCTCAAAGGCAGATTAGACTGGAGATGGTTGAATGGGACAAGCTTCACACATACTGTATGCATCAATAATAACTTGTAAGCTATGGAGCTAAAGTAAGAACCTGTCACCTTTATAGGATCCACTGTATATGAGTAAAATTTCTGAAGACTTAACAATAGGTATATAGTACAGACCACTTAATTCCAACATTGAGACAACAGTGTGCTGTATAATGAAAGGAAGGTATGCAGCAAACATGATATTAATGGGAGGGTTTTACTGAATGATTATTCCTTCTCCCAATTTGTACAGGCACCCACCAGTGGAGATATTAGTATGTTCTTATTAGCATATTCTATTCTATTGTGACTTCACAATCCCAGGACTCTCTCTGGATATAGTTCAAGTTTCAACAGCGGAAGAGCAGTGCAATCCAGGTGTCTAATATCCATCCTTAAACAGCTGCTGAGGTTAATGCCAGAAGTGATATCAGTCTGAGTGGAGCTAATTTGTTCCTGGGATGTTTCACAGTTTTTCATGAACATAAGAATGAGAGTTACTCACAACAGCACATTAAGAGATTCTTTACTCCTCAATATTATGTTTATCTGTCCAAGCTAAAAATGTTTCATCAATAAGATCATGAGACTAAAAGGATCATATGAATACATTCTCTTCGAGCAGCAATAAACAGGCTTCAATTTAAGAGGTCTGTCCATATTTCTCAACATTAAATATCTAGTATTCAGCTGCCCTTCATTCATATACTGAATGAGAATAGCAAAATACATTTTTTTTCTTTATAATAGCTTTATAGAATCTGCTTTTTAAAAAAAAGTACAGTCTGTTCTTTCTCAGTTTAAAACTATATACTGTAGCTATGAAAGCTGGCACAGAACATCCTCAATTTATAAGGCATTAAAGGGTTTATTTTTATGTTAGGTGATGTCATGTGAGGGTCTATACTTTAATGTGATGACAGCAGTCAGTGTCCATGAGTCTGCCAATGGAAGTCAAACAAAGATCCCACAATGTCACAGCTCATATCCTATGGGCAGGGCTAAAACACAATTCTCACTAACACCCTCCTGCACTGTTACACAAATACTAAATGTATTTTGAAGCTCTTTCTGAAAACCTCAAAGCACTGTACAATAACAGACATAATATACAAAAGTAGCCAAAAGAAAGATAAATGGAAAAGCACAGTAACTGACTCAAACAAGGATTAAGTAACCAACTTATACTGTACAAATTCAAGTTAAAATATAGTGAGTTTAAGTGAGTTTTAAAAATGTTGTCAGTTGCATAGTCTCTCAAGGGTTTGTGTAGTGAGTTCAAATAAGTTGTACAGATTTCGTGCTGTATACGGGAAGGCACTGTACAGTAGCCCTCTATGGTCTTTGCCAGACTGGGAACGCCTCAATTAGGACATTCCAGATTAAGAATTGAACTACTGTATACTCATGCAATAAATCCTTAATATAATAATGGACCATTGAGTGACTTATTCAGGATAACCTTACAGTACATTCTAAATTTCACTGAAAAGCAGTACAGAGAACAAGCTGATGCACAGCACCATTTACAGTAATCTGATCTTCATAAAATGAAGCAATGCATGAATATTTCGGCATCAGATTGGCAGAGCAAGTGTCTTTGTGAAACCATGCTACACAGGTGGAAGAAAGAAATCCTAGTGGTGTTCCAAACATGCAATCCCAATCCAGGATCATACGTAACACCCAAGCTTCAATGTTTCCATCAAGGGTTTAATTTCAGCACCAATGAAAACTAGAAACCTCAGTCTTGTCACAGCTTAGATTAAGAATTTTCTGGTACAGCCATATCTTAAAATCAGATAGAATGCTGTAAATGCAGAAACCTCAGTGGAAGTGTCAGATTTAGTCTGCATGTGTCGCCGAAACCCTAAATCGATGATGGTGAATAATAAGAGTCAACATGTCCTGTAAATACAAAAATTAAAGTTCTCAGCACTTAACTTTAGTAAGTAGGACACTACTGGATCTAAAAAAGACAGTGGGTAAAACAAAGTGGATTACAAACAGAAACAGGAGAGATCTGAGAAAACTAAATAATACTAATTATCTGTATCTGTATAGCACTTTTATCTAAAATGATTCCAGAGCACCTCACTTATAGGAGGGGACCAATTTTATCCTGCACTGAAGAACAGCACTCACCTGAGTGATGAGTGGTAGAAAAGCAGATGAAGAGGGAAGAAACTACTTCAACAGTTGAATTAAGAAAACACTGAAGTAGGCCAGGTTGAGCAACACATGAGTGGAAATCACTCAGAACAATGGATTTAAACATACATTCTCTTATGAGTACAGCCATGGGAACTTTACTTACTACAACTTTAGGACCTTGTGAACGGATGGATATTTAGAGACATAAAAATAAAAAAAATGATTGGCTTTCTAAAGTAAATCAAGCCCTGTTTTTTGTGTTTTTAGCTTGGATTTCACAATGAATTTTCTTCTGTATGAAACTCTGATCTTCAAAAACTCTGTCGGGTTCAGAATTGTGCATCAAGGGTTTCTACAAAATATCTCATTAGCTAATTCATTGTTTTCAGGAATGCAGAAATGATTTCTGTTGGTTCTTAAATTGTCAGCATTCGCTTAACTGCTTCTGACGTCAACAGTGAAGTCTTCATCACAATATGTGGTATAAAGGCCCATTTTATTATCTCCGTATTTGGTGCAGTAAGGCTGTGCTTGACAATCACAGTGGCAGTTATTTTGGAAATTGCAATAGATACAATCTTGGTATAATGAAAGGAAAAACTGCGTAATTAATACTCTTATGATGGTCAAGGAAGGGTACCATGTGCGGTCATAAACATTCAACGTCAAAGCCAAATGTTTAAAGGAGACTG